GCCCAGTCAATAACGTTAGGGTATACAATGGTTATTGGGTTAATGGATTCTGGTTTCATACTATCGCATATGGACAAAATAAAAAGATCATGAATAGCGGTGTTTGTGTGAAGGGAACCACTTTCAATGATGAGTCAGATTATTATGGGAGTTTGAAGGAAATAATTGAGCTTTAGTATTTTGACTCATTTGTTCATCAATCAGTGATTTTGTTCAAGTGTGAGTGGTATGATATCAATAAAGGCATTGTTCCATCTGACATTTGGTATAGTTGATATAAGTCCTCGATTTAAATTACAAATAGATGAACCATTCATATTGGCCAGTCAAGCTCAACAAGTGTTTTATGCCTGTTACCCATCTCAAAATCCTTGTAGAAAAGGGTGGTTTACTGCATGTAAGATTAGAGCAAGAGCAATAATTGACACTTCATCATTGAGTAATGGTGGAAATGTTTATTATCAAGATGATGATCCTCCTATGCCACAATTGGTGCTGTTTTAAATGATCATGTTTCACTAGCATCTCAAGGGAGAGAACAAGTGATGATTAGTAAGGTCATGCAATTGCCATATGTGGTAGAGGAAGAATGTGTGGGTGAGGATGATGATGAAGAGGAAGAGTTTGATGGAACGGAAACATTGGCAGAAGAAGTTCCAAATTACTTAACCAAGAATGATAGTGACTAAATGTATCTTATTTGATTTTTTTAATTAATTGAATAAGGGATGAAAGACTACTTATATTTTCTTTATTATGTGTTTCCATTAATGACTTTTATATTTATATTTATATCAATATGTCTGCTATAATTCTTTATATTGATATTTATAGTGAAGTTATATTTATATATTATTATATTTATATTGATATATATATCTATTTACTTATAAATATATATTTCATATATTTGTAGTTATTTATATATATTTAGTTGTGTATTGATATTTATATTTTTCATTTTTTTCTCATTTTTTAAATTCTCATTTTAATCAAATGTATGATTTTTTTTTTTCATATTGTATTAAACTATTGAACTTATTTAATGA